ACAGATGCCTGTCATTGGAAAGGCATTGTCAACACCCGGAGACACAATCGACTGCTCCGCTCCACGGTCACAATCGAATTCTCTAGAAGATCAGGTTAGGACGGCTCAAGGACCAACGACCACTGGACGGATTTTCGATCCTGAAAATTTCGTGGACGAACTTCTTCAGTTGAACCTCAGAATAGACATCAGCAGAGGCATCGACACAGCCTATTAGCGCCCCATTGATACCATCTAAACTACAATCCAGTTATCCAGCCGTCCTGCAATTTAGACGATGAGACATTATTTGGTAAGCAGTGGTGGAGGAAGTAGAAAGCAGAAAATAAAAACTGTTATAGGGTCAACTATGGTAATGGTGCTGCCATAACGAGGACAATTTCAATAACGAGTTTGACTCCATCAGCGTGTCACTCACCTGGCTCAATCCATGGCTGATAACTAGATTTTAACAAAGAGAACATCATTTAATACTAACACGGATAGTTTCTATGAATTTTCAGCCAAAATAATAAATAAAACACGACCATTTGGATGGAATTTGGACCAAGGGTTTGACACAGGATCCAAGCACGCGGAGTGAAGTATCTCCAAGATGTGATCCATTTGAACGGAATACGATAGAAAGAAGAGAAATGCCGTCAATCACTTGGTTCTGGAAGCAAAATTGATGATCCAAACCGATCACACCTCTGTCGAATTATAATCCATTCAGCATATGGACGCAAAACAACACTGCTGTGTCAGTCAAGGCATAACTCGGGTTTACAGTTACATGCATTGATGCGAATCTTTGTGGCACCTGGTGTCGTCGATGCAATTGAAGAAGAAGAAAACGAAGAAGTAGGAGTAGAAGAAGAAGGTAATAAGATGAAATCTAAGTTTATTAAAAAAATTATGCATTTCCACAACTGCAGGTATGAACAGCTAGCATGTTCCACTTTTCTGAATTAAATTAATCTTTGCATTCCTTAATTAAACCACCAACTAATTGAATTGCAATGATTCGACGTCACTATGCATAATAGGCGACGAATCCGTCTCAATTTAAGTTAACTGCTGCTGCCTAGCAAAGTGCTGCGAAGCGTCGTTTGGGCAACCATATTCAGATGAGGAAAAAGCGTACCCTTGCGATGGCTGAAAATTTGACAGTGAATTAATGATTTATTCATTAATTGCCTGGATCAATAATTGTCGATTTTTTACGTACTTTCTATGACTAGATGCGTAACCAACGTGAGATTCGACAACAATAGTGGAATAATAAAGGAACGTTGGTCGCCATCATGGTGCAAAGGAAAACTCAGGTTAGTAGGGTTCGCCACGAGCATGTTTAATTTTGGCAATTCTACACACAGCGTCTACAGCGAATAGCTGACGATACTTGGGTGTCCAACGGAACTTCTGTCAAAGTGTCAGTTGATTATGACCATATTCTCGAACATTCCAGAATATGCCAAAAGTCATATATGCCATCACTTGCGGACCTCACGTTGCATTCAAGTTTTATATCTAGCTGCAGCTAATCGAGGGTTTAGAAAAGCTGTCTATCCAAAGAAACCGCTAAACAGCACCCTGCCTTCACAGAAGGGCAAAAGCGCATGCTGTGCTTGCGAATGACCTTAAATACGCGCTGCAGACAGAAGGAACGAATCGTGGAGGAAGCCAGAGA